CTCTGCTGTGCTTTGTGGCTGGAATACATGTCGATAGTGAGTCTGGTTCGATCCGTGCACTGTGCGCCTGCATCATCTTGACTTGACCCCCCCCAGTCACCGTCACATTGCACACCACACCACACCACCACACAGCCTTACTCTCCACCTTTTACTCTCCACCTTTTACTCTCCCCTCCCTCGCCTCGCCCTCATAACCGTAACTCCCATCACTCCACTCTGCATGTGCGCCTGCCGTAATGCAGGACAGTGGCATCGACATCTGTGCGCCGGAGGTGCTGTACCTGTACACGGACAACTTTGACTACCAGCACCCCCGGCGAGACTTCCTGCGCGGCATCCTCAATGATGACGTGAGCATTCTCAATGATGACGTGAGCATTCTCAATGATGACGTGAGCATTCTCAATGATGACGTGAGCTTTTTTAAAATTGTCTGTTCCATTCCCGTCCTCCCTCCCTCCCTCGATCACCTCATGCATTGCACTTCCTCGCACCTCTTCTCTCATAGCCCCACACGCACATGAGCAGCGGGACAGCAGCAAAGGAATTGGGAGCCTATTTTCTCCCTCTCCCTTACATGCCATCACATGTGATGACGCCATGAGCTGTGCCCACCCACACCAGTGGGGCCCTCACGGGTCCCCACCCCAGGGCGGGCTGAATTCATTGGCAGCCACGTTGACCCTCCAGTCAATGCGCCCATGGCTGCCCATGCCAGACTCCCGCCCACACCACACTGCCCCTGCTCGCATCTTCGTCTCATGCTAATTCTAATGCTATGCTGTCACCACAGGGTGGTGTTCCCGTGCCATGCGATTGTAGCACGCTGCCGTGCGAGCTTGTGTCACTATGCCTCTGTGTCATGCGTGCCACAGAGGCATGCTTGTTTCCCTGCGATGCTCTGTCATCCCTCCATGCACTACCCGCTTCTCCCACACAATGTCATCCGCATACCATCTTGCACTCCCCCACTTCAGAGCTCGCACCAATCCATTTCCTCTTGCCCCCCTACCCCCTGCCCCGTTTCCCCATTGCGTTATCCCTTCTCTCCCTTGTCCCGTCGCCCCTTCCCGCTTCGTTCCCCCCCCCCACTGTGTTGATCAATCAGATCATGGGAAACAAGATCTTCACGCACGAGATCAAATCGCAGTATGCCGCCCGCATAGACACGCTGCGGGCGTACGCGGCGGTGTCAAGGGACGTGCTGCGGCGCTGGGCCTTCCCCCTCGCGCCCGACTGCGCCTTCGGGGCCCACAGCGGCCGCACCGCTGTCACCCGAGGCAACCGGTACCGCGAGGAAGGTATGAGGAATGTTAGAGAAAGGTGAGAGGAAGGTGAGAGGAAGGTGAGAGGAAGGTGTGAAGAAAGTCCGAGAAAGTTGAGAGGAAGGTATGGGTAAGGTGGAAGGAAATTGATTGAGAGGAAGGTGAGAGGACGGCAGGTGGGGCATGAATAAATGTGCAGATGAAAGCTCTCCGTGTGAGCAGGAGCCATGCACGTGCATGTGACATGTGACATGTATGTGAGCAGCAGTGGAGGGCGTGTGAGCAGTGCATGTGCAAGCGAGCCTCACTCATAGAGTACGGTGTGTGCACTCAGCTCAGTTGGCATGCGAGGCTGCTGCTGTCCCCCCCCTCGCCTTCTACTCCACCTTCTCTAACATCACCGGTTCTCTCCCTGCCTCCGCCTGTTCACTTGAGCGCTCTGTGCCGGGGTCGCACTGTTTGACACCCGTTTCTCTCTCGCTCTCTCTTTCCTGCACTGCCCGCACCCTCTCCTCCCCTCCACGCCCCCTTGTCCCCCCTCTTCCCCCATGCCCCCCTGTCCGTCTGCAGCGGTGTCAGTGGCGCGGTCAGCAGTGATAGGGCCGGACACGCTGCTGGGGGAGGGAACAGTGGTGGCGGAGAGGGCGGTGGTGCGCGGGTCAGTGCTGGGCGCGCACTGCCTGGTGGGCGAGGGGGCCGTGGTGGACGGCAGCTTCCTGTGGGGCGGCGTCACGGTGGGCGCGGGCGCCGTGGTGCGGCATGCAGTGCTGTGTGACGGCGTGCAGGTCATGGCGGAGGGGACTGTGCACCCCGGCTGCGTGCTCTCTTTCGATGTGAGCGTGCTGCTGCTGGGATGGCAAATAGGCCAGGGGGAAGGGGGTGGGCATGTGGGCATGTGGGGATTGGGGGATGTGTGGCTGTGGGTGTGGGCATGTGTGAATGTGGGGATGTGGGGATGTGGTGGTGCGGCATGCGGTGCTGTGCGATGGCGTGCAGGTCATGGCGGGTGGAACGCTCAACCCCGGTTGCTTGCTCTCCTTTGATGTGCGTGGCTCGTGCTGTGGGCATGTGGGGATGTGGGGATGTGGCGATGTGGGTATGTGGGCATGTGGGCATGTGGGGATGTGGCGATGTGGCGATGTGGCGATGTTGGGATGTGGGGATGGGGGGATGGATGTGGGGATGGGGGTATGGATGTGGGGATGGGGGGATGGATGTGGGGATGCGGGGATGCGGGGATGTTGGGATGCGTGATGTGTGCTGGCGTGCACACAGACAGGCGATTCTCTCTCACCCGCTTGACCCCTCTGTCCTTCCCTTCTCCCATAGTAGGTGGTGGTGGCAGCCAATCACGTGGTGCCAGCTGGCACGCGCATAGCGAGGGAGCAGCAGCCGGAGGAGGAGGGCAGCGATGATGAGAACACAGAGGGGCATGGCATGGGTGAGAACACAGAAGGGCATGGCATGGGTGAGTGAGTTGATTGGGCGGGTATAGGGCATGTGTGAGAGCAGGAATGTAGGGAGATTGGTGGGATGGGATGGGTGTGGGTGGCAATGGCATGTCAGGGTGTGATGATGATGATGATGAGAACAAGGAGCAGCAAAGATGAGGCCACCATTCAACTGGATGTACATGTGTTTTTGTTATGCTATGACCCTCACTTGTGGCTTTGAATTTGTTGACAACATAATATGTTGGCAAATACGATATCTACTGTTGTCTCAACCCATCTATTACCTTGTTCCTCCGTTTTCTGTTGCCGTTTTTGTGTGCTGCGTGTGTCATGGACCCTTGTGTTCTCTCTCCCTCGCCTCTCCTCCACGCGGCATCAGCCCCGCCTGCAGTGCGAAGGAAGCAGGGCAAGCAAGGTGACGAGGAGGATGAGGATGATGAGGAGGAAGAGGATGAGGAAGAGGAAGATGAGGAGGAGGGAGAGGAGGAGAAGCAGGAGCTATCAGATGAAGACGAGGGGCCATGTGATGTGCAAGCTGTGAGTGCCATGTGATGTGCAAGCTGTGAGTGCCATGTGATGTGCAAGCTGTGAGTGCCATGTGATGTGCAAGCTGTGAGTGCCATGTGATGTGCAAGCGGTGAGTGCCATGTGATGTGCAAGCTGTGAGTGCCATGTGATGTGCAAGCTGTGAGTGCCATGTGATGTGCAAGCTGTGAGTGCCATGTGATGTGCAAGCTGTGAGTGCCATGTGATGTGCAAGCTGTGAGTGCCATGTGATGTGCAAGCGGTGAGTGCCATGTGATGTGCAAGCTGTGAGTGCCATGTGATGTGCAAGCTGTGAGTGCCATGTGATGTGCAAGCGGTGAGTGCCATGTGATGTGCAAGCTGTGAGTGCCATGTGATGTGCAAGCTGTGAGTGCCATGTGATGTGCAAGCTGTGAGTGCCATGTGATGTGCAAGCTGTGAGTGCCATGTGATGTGCAAGCTGTGAGTGCCATGTGATGTGCAAGCTGTGAGTGCCATGTGATGTGCAAGCGGTGAGTGCCATGTGATGTGCAAGCTGTGAGTGCCATGTGATGTGCAAGCTGTGAGTGCCATGTGATGTGCAAGCTGTGAGTGTCATGTGATGTGCAAGCTGTGAGTGCCATGTGATGTGCAAGCTGTGAGTGCCATGTGATGTGCAAGCTGTGAGTGCCATGTGATGTGCAAGCTGTGAGTGCCATGTGATGTGCAAGCTGTGAGTGCCATGTGATGTGCAAGCTGTGAGTGCCATGTGATGTGCAAGCTGTGAGTGCCATGTGATGTGCAAGCTGTGAGTGCCATGTGATGTGCAAGCTGTGAGTGCCATGTGATGTGCAAGCTGTGAGTGCCATGTGATGTGCAAGCTGTGAGTGCCATGTGATGTGCAAGCTGTGAGTGCCATGTGATGTGCAAGCTGTGAGTGCCATGTGATGTGCAAGCTGTGAGTGCCATGTGATGTGCAAGCTGTGAGTGCCATGTGATGTGCAAGCTGTGAGTGCCATGTGATGTGCAAGCTGTGAGTGCCATGTGATGTGCAAGCTGTGAGTGCCATGTGATGTGCAAGCTGTGAGTGCCATGTGATGTGCAAGCTGTGAGTGCCATGTGATGTGCAAGCTGTGAGTGCCATGTGATGTGCAAGCTGTGAGTGCCATGTGATGTGCAAGCTGTGAGTGCCATGTGATGTGCAAGCTGTGAGTGCCATGTGATGTGCAAGCTGTGAGTGCCATGTGATGTGCAAGCTGTGAGTGCCATGTGATGTGCAAGCTGTGAGTGCCATGTGATGTGCAAGCTGTGAGTGCCATGTGATGTGCAAGCTGTGAGTGCCATGTGATGTGCAAGCTGTGAGTGCCATGTGATGTGCAAGCTGTGAGTGCCATGTGATGTGCAAGCTGTGAGTGCCATGTGATGTGCAAGCTGTGAGTGCCATGTGATGTGCAAGCTGTGAGTGCCATGTGATGTGCAAGCTGTGAGTGCCATGTGATGTGCAAGCTGTGAGTGCCATGTGATGTGCAAGCTGTGAGTGCCATGTGATGTGCAAGCTGTGAGTGCCATGTGATGTGCAAGCTGTGAGTGCCATGTGATGTGCAAGCTGTGAGTGCCATGTGATGTGCAAGCTGTGAGTGCCATGTGATGTGCAAGCTGTGAGTGCCATGTGATGTGCAAGCTGTGAGTGCCATGTGATGTGCAAGCTGTGAGTGCCATGTGATGTGCAAGCTGTGAGTGCCATGTGATGTGCAAGCTGTGAGTGCCATGTGATGTGCAAGCTGTGAGTGCCATGTGATGTGCAAGCTGTGAGTGCCATGTGATGTGCAAGCTGTGAGTGCCATGTGATGTGCAAGCTGTGAGTGCCATGTGATGTGCAAGCTGTGAGTGCCATGTGATGTGCAAGCTGTGAGTGCCATGTGATGTGCAAGCTGTGAGTGCCATGTGATGTGCAAGCTGTGAGTGCCATGTGATGTGCAAGCTGTGAGTGCCATGTGATGTGCAAGCTGTGAGTGCCATGTGATGTGCAAGCTGTGAGTGCCATGTGATGTGCAAGCTGTGAGTGCCATGTGATGTGCAAGCTGTGAGTGCCATGTGATGTGCAAGCTGTGAGTGCCATGTGATGTGCAAGCTGTGAGTGCCATGTGATGTGCAAGCTGTGAGTGCCATGTGATGTGCAAGCTGTGAGTGCCATGATGTGCAAGCTGTGAGTGCCATGTGATGTGCAAGCTGTGAGTGCCATGTGATGTGCAAGCTGTGAGTGCCATGTGATGTGCAAGCTGTGAGTGCCATGTGATGTGCAAGCTGTGAGTGCCATGTGATGTGCAAGCTGTGAGTGCCATGTGATGTGCAAGCTGTGAGTGCCATGTGATGTGCAAGCTGTGAGTGCCATGTGATGTGCAAGCTGTGAGTGCCATGTGATGTGCAAGCTGTGAGTGCCATGTGATGTGCAAGCTGTGAGTGCCATGTGATGTGCAAGCTGTGAGTGCCATGTGATGTGCAAGCTGTGAGTGCCATGTGATGTGCAAGCTGTGAGTGCCATGTGATGTGCAAGCTGTGAGTGCCATGTGATGTGCAAGCTGTGAGTGCCATGTGATGTGCAAGCTGTGAGTGCCATGTGATGTGCAAGCTGTGAGTGCCATGTGATGTGCAAGCTGTGAGTGCCATGTGATGTGCAAGCTGTGAGTGCCATGTGATGTGCAAGCTGTGAGTGCCATGTGATGTGCAAGCTGTGAGTGCCATGTGATGTGCAAGCTGTGAGTGCCATGTGATGTGCAAGCTGTGAGTGCCATGTGATGTGCAAGCTGTGAGTGCCATGTGATGTGCAAGCTGTGAGTGCCATGTGATGTGCAAGCTGTGAGTGCCATGTGATGTGCAAGCTGTGAGTGCCATGTGATGTGCAAGCTGTGAGTGCCATGTGATGTGCAAGCTGTGAGTGCCATGTGATGTGCAAGCTGTGAGTGCCATGTGATGTGCAAGCTGTGAGTGCCATGTGATGTGCAAGCTGTGAGTGCCATGTGATGTGCAAGCTGTGAGTGCCATGTGATGTGCAAGCTGTGAGTGCCATGTGATGTGCAAGCTGTGAGTGCCATGTGATGTGCAAGCTGTGAGTGCCATGTGATGTGCAAGCTGTGAGTGCCATGTGATGTGCAAGCTGTGAGTGCCATGTGATGTGCAAGCTGTGAGTGCCATGTGATGTGCAAGCTGTGAGTGCCATGTGATGTGCAAGCTGTGAGTGCCATGTGATGTGCAAGCTGTGAGTGCCATGTGATGTGCAAGCTGTGAGTGCCATGTGATGTGCAAGCTGTGAGTGCCATGTGATGTGCAAGCTGTGAGTGCCATGTGATGTGCAAGCTGTGAGTGCCATGTGATGTGCAAGCTGTGAGTGCCATGTGATGTGCAAGCTGTGAGTGCCATGTGATGTGCAAGCTGTGAGTGCCATGTGATGTGCAAGCTGTGAGTGCCATGTGATGTGCAAGCTGTGAGTGCCATGTGATGTGCAAGCTGTGAGTGCCATGTGATGTGCAAGCTGTGAGTGCCATGTGATGTGCAAGCTGTGAGTGCCATGTGATGTGCAAGCTGTGAGTGCCATGTGATGTGCAAGCTGTGAGTGCCATGTGATGTGCAAGCTGTGAGTGCCATGTGATGTGCAAGCTGTGAGTGCCATGTGATGTGCAAGCTGTGAGTGCCATGTGATGTGCAAGCTGTGAGTGCCATGTGATGTGCAAGCTGTGAGTGCCATGTGATGTGCAAGCTGTGAGTGCCATGTGATGTGCAAGCTGTGAGTGCCATGTGATGTGCAAGCTGTGAGTGCCATGTGATGTGCAAGCTGTGAGTGCCATGTGATGTGCAAGCTGTGAGTGCCATGTGATGTGCAAGCTGTGAGTGCCATGTGATGTGCAAGCTGTGAGTGCCATGTGATGTGCAAGCTGTGAGTGCCATGTGATGTGCAAGCTGTGAGTGCCATGTGATGTGCAAGCTGTGAGTGCCATGTGATGTGCAAGCTGTGAGTGCCATGTGATGTGCAAGCTGTGAGTGCCATGTGATGTGCAAGCTGTGAGTGCCATGTGATGTGCAAGCTGTGAGTGCCATGTGATGTGCAAGCTGTGAGTGCCATGTGATGTGCAAGCTGTGAGTGCCATGTGATGTGCAAGCTGTGAGTGCCATGTGATGTGCAAGCTGTGAGTGCCATGTGATGTGCAAGCTGTGAGTGCCATGTGATGTGCAAGCTGTGAGTGCCATGTGATGTGCAAGCTGTGAGTGCCATGTGATGTGCAAGCTGTGAGTGCCATGTGATGTGCAAGCTGTGAGTGCCATGTGATGTGCAAGCTGTGAGTGCCATGTGATGTGCAAGCTGTGAGTGCCATGTGATGTGCAAGCTGTGAGTGCCATGTGATGTGCAAGCTGTGAGTGCCATGTGATGTGCAAGCTGTGAGTGCCATGTGATGTGCAAGCTGTGAGTGCCATGTGATGTGCAAGCTGTGAGTGCCATGTGATGTGCAAGCTGTGAGTGCCATGTGATGTGCAAGCTGTGAGTGCCATGTGATGTGCAAGCTGTGAGTGCCATGTGATGTGCAAGCTGTGAGTGCCATGTGATGTGCAAGCTGTGAGTGCCATGTGATGTGCAAGCTGTGAGTGCCATGTGATGTGCAAGCTGTGAGTGCCATGTGATGTGCAAGCTGTGAGTGCCATGTGATGTGCAAGCTGTGAGTGCCATGTGATGTGCAAGCTGTGAGTGCCATGTGATGTGCAAGCTGTGAGTGCCATGTGATGTGCAAGCTGTGAGTGCCATGTGATGTGCAAGCTGTGAGTGCCATGTGATGTGCAAGCTGTGAGTGCCATGTGATGTGCAAGCTGTGAGTGCCATGTGATGTGCAAGCTGTGAGTGCCATGTGATGTGCAAGCTGTGAGTGCCATGTGATGTGCAAGCTGTGAGTGCCATGTGATGTGCAAGCTGTGAGTGCCATGTGATGTGCAAGCTGTGAGTGCCATGTGATGTGCAAGCTGTGAGTGCCATGTGATGTGCAAGCTGTGAGTGCCATGTGATGTGCAAGCTGTGAGTGCCATGTGATGTGCAAGCTGTGAGTGCCATGTGATGTGCAAGCTGTGAGTGCCATGTGATGTGCAAGCTGTGAGTGCCATGTGATGTACAAACTGTGAGTGCCATGTGATGTGCTGACATTGGTCATGTTGTGGCATGTGCATGTTTTTCAATATCCATGTGTCCATCTGCTGTATTCCTGCATGCATGGCCAGACGGGATGTGATAGCATGCCATGGCTTGGCACAGCATGGCATGGTGGTCTCGGTTTGCCCTTTTTTCACATTTCTCCTTCTCACCCCCATCACAGCACCTTCCTGCTTCCCTCTCCGCACCCCATCAGTTGAGCTGAGGAAACAAGCTTCGCTTTTTTCCCAAACCCTCCACCCCTCCCGCCATTTCTCCATCCCCTCTCCCTCCCCTCCACCCCCCGCACCCCTCCCAACTTCCCCCTCCGCCCGTCCCCCCCACAGGTGGGCGAGGGCGGGAGGGGCTTCGCCTGGCCGCCCAGAACCCCCGCTGCAGCAGCCGTGGTGCGGCGGCAGTCGCTCGCACCAATCACAGCGCTCGAACTTGCTGAGCTGGCAAGACTGGCGATTGGACGGGAGGAGGGCGAGGGGGAGGAGGGGGAGGAGGAATTAGGAAGGGAAGGAGGGGCGGCCTTGGTGGGAGGGGAGGAGGAGGAAGAGGAAGACGAGGAGGAGGAGGATGGGGAGGACGAGTTTAGCAAAGAGGTGAGCTGTGTGGGATGGAGGGGTGGAGGGAAGGGTGGAGGAGGGGATGTAGGGGAGAGAAGATGGGGTGAGGGCTGGGAGGGATGGGACACGAGGGTGGCAGGGCGATGGAGAGGGGAGAAGGGAGGAAAATGCAATGAGGGAGGGAAGCGCGAGAGAGGGTGCAAGGCACGTGCAATGCATGCGCACTGGGGGTTGGTGGATGCTTGTAGGATGGATGATGACAGCATGTGGTGTCATGGGCATGTGGTGCCATGGGCATGTGGTGCCATGGGCATGTGATGCCATGGGCATGTGGTGCCATGGGCATGTGGTGCCATGGGCATGTGGTGCCATGGGCATGTGGTGCCATGGGCATGTGGTGCCATGGACCTGACGCTTAGCCTGTGGCATGTTTGCCTTTTTTTAAATATATATCCATGAGTGTCTTTATGGTGCATGGATGCATTGCATCGCATGGCATGGCATGGCATGGCATGGCACGGCACTGCATGTCACCTCATGGCATGGCATGGCATGGCATGGCACTGCATGTCACCTCATGGCATGGCATGGCATGGCATGGCATGGCATGGCATGGCATGGCATGGCATGGCATGGCATGGCATGGCATGGCAGGTGGAGGAGATGTTCAAGCGGGCCGTGGCGGAGGGGGTGGCGCAAGACAACGTGGTGCTGGAAGTCAACGCGCTCAAGTGAGTGGTCAACGCGCTCAAGTGAGTGGTCAACGCGCTCAAGTGAGTGGTCAACGCGCTCAAGTGAGTGGTCAACGCGCTCAAGTGAGTGGTCAACGCGCTCAAGTGAGTGGTCAACGCGCTCAAGTGAGTGGTCAACGCGCTCAAGTGAGTGGTCAACGCGCTCAAGTGAGTGGTCAACGCGCTCAAGTGAGTGGTCAACGCGCTCAAGTGAGTGGTCAACGCGCTCAAGTGAGTGGTCAACGCGCTCAAGTGAGTGGTCAACGCGCTCAAGTGAGTCAACGCGCTCAAGTGAGTCAGTGTGGTCAACCTGAGTCAACGTGGTCAAAGTGGGTCATTGCGGTCAACTCAAGTCAACGCCCTCAAGTGAGTCAATGCTACGTCCGTCTCAGCTTCCTTATCCCTGCCCACGCAGAGCGCAGCTTCCACGCTCCGCTCCACGCGCATCCCTTTCCACACACCCTCTTATCATATCCTTCCCTCCTTCCCTTTCCCCCACCCTCCCTCCCACTCGCCTCCATCTCGCCTGTCGCCAACGCATGCCAGGCTGGCATACAACCGGTCCTTTGCGGACTGTGCGGGGGCCATGTTCCGAGGCATGCTCAACCTCGCCGCCTCACAAGCCGCCCCCGGGGCACCCACCAGTGAGTGCACGCACCTCGGCTGACCAGCGCCATCTGTTATTCCACCCGTCCACACCCATTTGCCTCGCACACCACCCTATGCCACCCACCTGCGAGCTCAGCTGCCTGACTGGTCACCCGTTGGCTGCCACAACTTTACAGAGTACCACCCTCAACTCAACTCTGGGGCTCTTTACCAAATTTCCCTATCTGCCCATCCCGCCCAGGGGCGCCCACCTCTCAGCCCCAACTGCTGGATTTTGTTTAGAATACTCTAAAGAACCCTGCAAATCCTTGGTTCCCACCCCGGCCCTGCTCTATCACTCCTTGTCTGCTCACCCTGTTCCCCCACCCTGCCCCCCTCTCTGCCCGCCCGCCATCCCTCCCCCCCCGGCCCCCGCCCTGCCCTCATCCGCCCTGCCCCCGCCGTGCCCTCATCCGCCCTGCCCTCATCCGCCCTGCCCCCGTCCGCCCCGCTCAGAGGAGCTGCTGGCGTCCACACGTGCCGTGGTGACTCGGTGGACGTCGCTTCTGAGAAGGTTCCTCAAGGGCACGGACGACGAGGTGCGTGGCAGAAGGGGGATGGGGACGAGTTCAGGGAAGAGGGAGAGGAGAGGGGGTGAGAAATCTGGTGGGGGAGGGGATGACGGAGGGCATGGGGGTGGGGGAGCTTGAGGGGGCGGGGGGTCGTTGGCGGCTAGGGGGTAGGTGGAAGGTGGGCAGGGAAAAGAGGGAGAAGCACCGCCATTCCAAAAAGGTTTTCAATGCCACTTCCTGTACCCATTTCTTGCCCATCCTCTCTACCCTTCCCTGCCCCTTCCCATCTCTGCCATTCCCCACTTCTTGCTCTCACCGCCAACCCTTGTTGGGATTAGGCTGCACTTTGTGTGTTAGCCTTGAAAGTTGAAGGGTTTACAAATTTTAGTAAGTTTAGTTTTGGTAAGGTTGGGTGTAGACTTTTTCATCCCCAACCTATCCAACCCTATCCAAACCAAACCATTCAAATTCTCCTGGGATTCCTTTCTGATTGCATCTTATCCATCCAACCCCTCCTAGTTTCTGGTACTTAAGGTCATGTATGAGACTCTCCAATCAATCGAACCAACCCTTTCCTGACACCCCTCACGTCTTCCCCCTCTCACCCAATTTTTTCTCCCTCTCGCTGTCACCACTCCACCTTCCCCCCTTTCGCGCCCTTCCTTTCATCCCCCTTTCACCATCTCCCCCCCTCTTCCTCCCCGCTCCTCCTCGGGCAGGTGGAGGTGCTGCTGACATTCGAGGAGGTGTGCAACGAGTCCCGCCCCGAGTTCGCGCCCATATTTGTCAATGTGAGTGCTGCCAAAAAGTGCCGCCAACAAGTGCCATTCAGAAGTATCTTTTGCGGTGGCCTGTGTGAGAATCCTGGCAGCCACTGGGTTTTCCATCCGCCTCTTGCTTCTGTGCCTTCCTGCTGGCACCTCCACCGTCCTCTCGCTCATTCATCATCCCTCAGTCCGCTCTCCCATGTATGGCCCGCCTCTTCCCACGTATGCTCCACCCGCCTCTCCTTTCACTGTGTTTCGCTAAACCCTCGTTCCGCTCTCTCCCCAGGTCCTCGAAACGCTGTACGACAGGGACATGGCGAGCGAGGAGGCCGCCATGCCACAACACCCTCTCCTCAATTTTCTCCGCCCCCTTCCCTCTCCTCCTCACTCCCACCCCCAGGTAGAGGCGCTGTATGACAGGGACATATCATGCGAGGAGGCGGTCATGGGTCATGGCCGTTCCTCCCATTCCCCCCATGTCTCTCCCGCTCCTTGGCTCTATTCCGTCCCCCTCAGGTGCTCGAAGCCCTGCCCTGTACGACCGGGACATAGGGAGTGCGGAGGCCGTCATGGCGCCACACTCCCCCAATTCTCCCCCCTCCACTTTTGCTGCTTCCCCCGCTGCTCACTCCCTCGCAGGTGCTAGAGGCCCTGTACGACAGGGACATAGTGAGCGAGGAGGCCGTCATGGCGTGGGCCGATGAGAAGCAGTTCGCCGACGCCGCTGACAAGGTGTTTGTCGAGCGATCCGCCGCGTTCATCAAGGTGAGATGAACGGTGCAAATCGAATCCTGCTGTGGTGTGGGCGAAACCCTCCCCCGTTTGTGGCACTGCTGCATGTGGGACTGGGGCAGTTGAGTGTGTGTGTGGGACTGGGGCAGTGTGAATGTGTGTGTGGGACTGGGGCAGTGTGAGTGTGTGTGTGGGACTGGGGCAGTGTGAGAGTGTGTGTGGGACTGGGGCAGTGTGAGTGTGTGTGGGACTGGGGCAGTGTGAGTGTGTGTGTGGGACTGGGGCAGTGTGAGTGTGTGTGTGGGACTGGGGCTGTGTGAGTGTGTGTGTGGGACTGGGGCAGTGTGAGTGTGTGTGGGACTGGGGCAGTGTGAGTGTGTGTGTGGGACTGGGGCAGTGTGAGTGTGTGTGGGACTGGGGCAGTGTGAGTGTGTGTGTGGGACTGGGGCAGTGTGAGTGTGTGTGGGACTGGGGCAGTGTGAGTGTGTGTGGGACTGGGGCAGTGTGAGTGTGTGTGTGGGACTGGGGCAGTGTGAGTGTGTGTGTGGGACTCAAGCAGTGTGAGTGTGGGTGGGACTGGGGCAGTGTGAGTGTGTGTGTGGGAGTGGGGCAGTGTGAGTGTGTGTGGGACTTGGGCAGTGTGAGTGTGTGTGGGACTGGGGCAGTGTGAGTGTGTGTGTGGGACTGGGGCAGTGTGAGTGTGTGTGTGGGACTCGGGCAGTGTGAGTGTGGGTGGGACTGGGGCAGTGTGAGTGTGTGTGTGGGACTGGGGCAGTGTGAGTGTGTGTGTGGGACTGGGGCAGTGTGAGTGTGTGTGTGGGACTCAAGCAGTGTGAGTGTGGGTGGGACTGGGGCAGTGTGAGTGTGTGTGTGGGACTGGGGCAGTGTGAGTGTGTGTGGGACTTGGGCAGTGTGAGTGTGTGTGGGACTGGGGCAGTGTGAGTGTGTGTGTGGGACTGGGGCAGTGTGAGTGTGTGTGTGGGACTCGGGCAGTGAGTGTGGGTGGGACTGGGGCAGTGTGAGTGTGTGTGTGGGACTGGGGCAGTGTGAGTGTGTGTGTGGGACTGGTGCAGTGTGAGTGTGTGTGTGGGACTGGGGCAGTGTGAGTGTGTGTGTGGGACTGGGGCAGTGTGAGTGTGGGTGGGACTGGGGCAGTGTGAGTGTGGGTGGGACTGGGGCAGTGTGAGTGTGTGTGTGGGACTGGGGCAGTGTGAGTGTGTGTGTGGGACTGGTGCAGTGTGAGTGTGTGTGTGGGACTGGGGCAGTGTGAGTGTGTGTGTGGGACTGGGGCAGTGTGAGTGTGGGTGGGACTGGGGCAGTGTGAGTGTGTGTGTGGGACTGGGGCAGTGTGAGTGTGTGTGGGACTGGGGCAGTGTGAGTGTGTGTGGGACTGGGGCAGTGTGAGTGTGTGTGTGGGACTGGGGCAGTGTGAGTGTGTGTGTGGGACTCGGGCAGTGTGAGTGTGGGTGGGACTGGGGCAGTGTGAGTGTGTGTGTGGGACTGGGGCAGTGTGAGTGTGTGTGTGGGACTGGGCAGTGTGAGTGTGTGTGTGGGACTGGGGCAGTGTGAGTGTGTGTGTGGGACTGGGGCAGTGTGAGTGTGTGTGTGGGACTCGGGCAGTGAGTGTGGGTGGGACTGGGGCAGTGTGAGTGTGTGTGTGGGACTGGGGCAGTGTGAGTGTGTGTGTGGGACTGGTGCAGTGTGAGTGTGTGTGTGGGACTGGGGCAGTGTGAGTGTGTGTGTGGGACTGGGGCAGTGTGAGTGTGGGTGGGACTGGGGCAGTGTGAGTGTGGGTGGGACTGGGGCAGTGTGAGTGTGTGTGTGGGACTGGGGCAGTGTGAGTGTGTGTGTGGGACTGGTGCAGTGTGAGTGTGTGTGTGGGACTGGGGCAGTGTGAGTGTGTGTGTGGGACTGGGGCAGTGTGAGTGTGGGTGGGACTGGGGCAGTGTGAGTGTGTGTGTGGGACTGGGGCAGTGTGAGTGTGTGTGGGACTGGGGCAGTGTGAGTGTGTGTGGGACTGGGGCAGTGTGAGTGTGTGTGTGGGACTGGGGCAGTGTGAGTGTGTGTGTGGGACTCGGGCAGTGTGAGTGTGGGTGGGACTGGGGCAGTGTGAGTGTGTGTGTGGGACTGGGGCAGTGTGAGTGTGTGTGTGGGACTGGGCAGTGTGAGTGTGTGTGTGGGACTCGGGCAGTGTGAGTGTGGGTGGGACTGGGGCAGTGTGAGTGTGTGTGTGGGACTCGGGCAGTGTGAGTGTGTGTGTGGGACTGGTGCAGTGTGAGTGTGTGTGTGGGACTGGGGCAGTGTGAGTGTGTGTGTGGGACTCGGGCAGGGTGAGTGTGGGTGGGACTGGGGCAGTGTGAGTGAGTGAGTGTGTGTGGTGCTGGCAGCACGGGTACCATGAAGCGTTGAAGATTCCATGCTTCACAGGAAGGGCGATGGTTCTCGTTAATCTTGCCAGCCCCCCTCTTGTGCTGCCCCTACTCTGCCCTGTTGTGCTGCCCCTACTCTGCCCTGTTGTGCTGCCCCTACTCTGCCCTGTTGTGCTGCCCCTACTCTGCCCTGTTGTGCTGCCCCTACTCTGCCCTGTTGTGCTGCCCCTACTCTGCCCTGTTGTGCTGCCCCTACTCTGCCCTGTTGTGCTGGCCCTACTCTGCCCTTCGCCTGCCCTCCCCCCCCCCTTTCACTGCACTCTTCCACTCCATCTCTCCCTGGCCCCATGTCCCGTGTTCTTCATCCCTTTCTCACTCTTGGCTCATTCGCCCTTGCCGCTAGCCGTCCTCGTGCCACCACTCCAGTTCACCCCGACCCCCACTGTGCTTGTCCTAACTTCCTTGCTCCCCTCTGCTGCTCTTCACCCGCTGCTGCTTTTCACCCGCTGCTGCTCTTCACCCGCTGCTGCTCCTCCCTCTGCTCTCTGCTCTGCCCTCTCTGCTGCTCTGCCTTCTAATGCTTCACCGTCCCTTCTGCTGCCTGTCTGGCCTCCACAGTGGCTGAAGGAAGCCGAGGAGGAGGAGAGTGATGATGAGTGAATGTCCGCCTTCACAAGCAGCGCAGTCACACAACCATCAGGGAACATAGGATAGGAGGGAGCACAGTGGCTTGCACGACAGTTGAGGTTAAGTGATCCAAGGCACAATACATGCACAATATATTGAGCATGGATTGATGTGCAAGGGTGTCACATCATGTGATGATGTGACCATATTGTCAATGTGAAAGCAACTTGAGATGAAGTGGATATGGTGGTGTGTCTCCATGTTCAGACGTCACCTGGATTCAAACTGTGTTCCCCCAAAAAACGTTCTGACACAGTAAAACTTGCCAGAGTATGTTACAGGTAGTTTCTCAAACTGATATGGTACCTGTACCGTAGATTTAAACCAGAAAATGAGAGCTCGGTCGGAAGTTACCGTAATATACTTGCCGAGTGCAACAAGAACTCACATAGCCAAGGAGTTTTGAGGGCTATTGCATGGGACAGGGTTCATCAAGCCGGTCTGGCGTAACTACCAGCCTATGGCAGAGAAAAAGGGAGGAAGATGAGTGTGTTTCGCAGATGCGCCTTACTTGAATTGAATCACTTCATTCGATTGAACTACGGTAGTTACTGGTATAGCTACTGGTAGTGTTACCATAGCGGCTGCCATCATCCTAGGCATACAGAGAGACAACAACAAGACCCAACCTCCACATCTCATACCTACGCTAAGTCAATGCTGCTACCTCAACTACGGTGCTAGTTAGTACGACTCTACACCTGTGCTGCAGAATGAAGGAACAATACTTGGGGATGCAGGCCAGGCCGTATTTCTCCTGTTCCTCCAGCTGCTGCACTCATCCACCAATTCACAGGATTTGGCATATGATGTGCTCCTTCAGCATGGGCGGCCCGTGTCTCTTCAGCTGCATGGAAACCCGCTCGCCAAGCAGAAACATGCCTGAGCGTGAGAGCACCGACAAGGGCCCATTATTCCTATGGTCTGGACAGCGCCTTTGTCCTTTACAATCCCTGCAGGGATGTAACGCTTCTCCTACAGTGAAGCATGGCCTGTCTTTCCTTGAGTGGCTTCATGTTCGTATCTGGTAAATACAGCTCCATGGGTGTGTGTCTGCTACGCTGATTCCACTGCCGTGTCACCCATGACCCCTATGACCCCTAAGAAGATACAGGTGTGGGCCTTAAGAAGATTCCACGGGGGTGTCGCGGGGCAGCGTGTTCCAGTTCGTTGAGCAGTTCCGCCCCTTCCACTCAAAACCCCGCTCCTCCAACCCCTCCCGGGCAGCCACGGGCAGCGCCGAAAAGAAGTCCCAGTCAGCCGCGAGCTGCTTGAGCACGGGCAGCTTGTTCCCGAGCCCCGGGCAGCAGTTGGCGTGCACGGTGAGCAGCGAGGAGAGCGAGTGGCCCATCTCACAGAAGCCCCCGAACTGGTTGGTGTGCAGGTAGCGCAACAGCAGCCGCGAGCCCACGCGCGTGAACGGGTTGGCCTCGGGGCGGATCCAGTTGAACACCTGCTGTATGCGGAACTGTGGGCACCTGGGGGGTGGAAGAAGAGTAGGGGGGGGGGGGGGGGGGGGGGGGGGGGGTAGGCAAACGAAGAATGATGCAACATCACATTGATAATCCCGCACAGGGTGGGTCCAGTTGAACACCTGCTGTATGCGGAACTGCGGGCACCTGGGGTTTGGAAGGAGAGTGGGAGGGGGGGGGGGGGGGGGGTAGGCACACGAAGAATGATGCAACATCACATTGATAATCACGCACAGGGTGGGTCCAGTTGAACACCTGCTGTATGCGGAACTGCGGGCACCTGGGGGGTGGAAGGAGAGTGGGAGGGGGGGGGGGGGGGGGGGTAGGCACACGAAGAATGATGCAACATCACATTGATAATCATGCACAGGGTGGGTCCAGTTGAACACCTGCTGTATGCGGAACTGCGGGCACCTGGAGGGGGACAGGGGCGGGTGAGGGTGTCGCGCCAAGATAAGGTGGGATTGTGTACAAAAGCACTTGCAAGCAGATCAATGCACCTGCGGCACCCATACCAGCGCCCCTGCACACAGCCACTCCGCCAGCCAGTCCTGGAAGAACCACAGCATACGGCTGTTAACCCGGGCGGCATACAATTCCCCATTACCCACGACAGACTCAAGCCATTCCAACACCTACCTTTCCCTTCCTCTGCTCACCTCCTGTGCCATGCGAGCCAGTCTTGAAAGAAGCGCAGAGTGCGCGTGTTGGCCCGGGCGGCATAGAACCCGCCGTTGGCCACCACGGAGCGCGGGTTGGGCGACCACCAGTCAGCCGACATCTGCAGGTCGTGTGGGCGGCGCCAGAGCAGCGGCAGCGGGTTGCGCAGCCAGAGGATGTCGGAGTCCGTGAAGAGCACGTCGTAGCCCAGCGCCAGCATGCTTGTCACCACCGCCACCTTGCGCCACACCTGTTGGTTAGGGCAGCAGGAGAGGAATAAGGTTTGTGAGAGGGATGTGAAGCATGGGTAAAGGGCAGGCAAAGCCGGGGGAGTGGGCTGCGCAGGCAGAGGATGTCGGAGAAGGTGAAAGGCACGTGGTAGCCCAGCGACAGCATGCTCGCCACCACCGCCACCTTGCACCACACCTTTACGGCAGTGGCAATGGCGAATCCGAGATGCAACAGCACAAGGGGAGGACGGTGTGTGTGAGAGATTCGAGGCATGGGTGATGGGGACGGGCAGAGGATGTGGGAGTTGGTGAAGAGCGCGTGGTAGCCCAGCCCAGCATGCTCGCCTCCACTGCCACCTTGCTTGCACCACACCTGCCGGATAAGGCAGCAGGAGAGAAATAAGGGGTGTGAGAGGGATGTGAAGCATGGGTAAAGGGTAGGCACAGCAGGGGGAGTGGGTTGCGCAGGCAGAGGAAGGTGAAGAGCACGTGGTAGCCCAGCATGCTCGCCACCACCGCCACCTTGCTTGCGCCACACGTGTTGGGTGGGATAGCAGAAGGCGACGTGTGTGCGAGTGAGAGGGAGATCAAGAGTGTCATTCGCGAGCTACCATGCTTGCTACCACCTGCCTGCCGCTTGCGCCATTCCTGTGAGTGGGAATGGCACGGCCGGATGGCAACGTACAGGAGGAGCCAGCCAGCGCGCTGGTATGAGGAATCTGACGTGTGACAGACGAGCAGGAAAGGGTGAGTTTGGCCCGAGGAGCCCACAGCGTGACAGGGAAGGGGTTGATAAGCCTGCTGCTAAGATAAGCCCTTCACAACTCCCCAGCCCTCCGCCCTCCGTCACCAACGCTGGTGCAGCTGGAAAGTGTGAGTGGGTAGTGCAAGGGTGCGGAGTGTCATGTGTGAGAGCCGTCCCGTTCAGGAGTATTCCACGCCACTCTGCCACATGCACGCCTGCCACTGTACCAACTCAAATATTCATACGCACCACGAAATTGAGATCCCACGCACCAGGTGTATATAAGCGCGCGTCATGAAGTGTTTCTGTCCGCCGCCCAGGTCCTCTCTGTGAGGAGCGTCCTCCTGCCAGTCCATGTAGCAGTTGAGCCCCATCGCGCAGCACGCCTCGAAGCTCGCGTCGTCGTACGCCACCACCACCAGCCGCGCCACCAGCTCACCCAGCGCAGAGCTATACGCGCCCTCTTCCGCCCCCGCCTCCCCCTCCCCGTCTCCATCTCCCGCGGTCTGATACCTCTCCGCTGTCCTCCGCTCGCTTTCCCTCTCCATCCCTTCAACCCCTGCGCGCGTCCGGATATTAACTCCGCCCCTCCCCTCCTCTCCGCCCCTTCGCTCCCCCTCCGCCTTCCTCTGCTCGCGCGCGCTCCGCTCCGCGCGCTCGACGGCGCGCAGGCGCGCGAGGAAGAAGCGCATCATGGGCGCCCACGCCTCGTTGAACGACACCACGATCACGGACCGCCGCGCGGCGCGCGCCAGCAGCTGCGCGGGCGACGCCGACTCCGCGTCCTCCGCGAACTCCTCGCCCGCCGCCGCCATGTCGTCGGCGATGGTCATGCCGCCCCCGCCGCCTGCAGAAGCGCCGTTGGTGGCGGCAGCAGCGCTAATAGCGGACTGCACGGCCGCCTTGAGGACGGACTGGAGCGTTCTGATGTGCCCGTGCGGTCGAGCGGATGAAAGAATGTGAGGATGGGGGCGTGCGGGGATGCGGGGATGCGGGGAGGCGGGGATATGAGATTGCGGGGATGTGGGGATGATGGGATGTACGCGACCGAAGGCGGTGAAGACGGGGCAACAGACAAAAGATTTCAACCATGACTAAAATGTGTGGCAAGCGAAAAAAGGTGTCACATCCCTGCGAAACCGGAAAGCGTGTCTTTGTTCTATATGATGTGCGTGTGTCGCATGCGCACGTGCGTCCGTACACGTGTGACTCACCTGCACTTTGAGCAGATCGGGGCCTTCCCTTGTTGCCGTTCTCCCATCCCCCCAACGGCGTCCATCGCTCTGCTCGATGGCGCACCCCTCGGGGAGTTTCCCCGGAGCCGCGCAGGCCCGTCGGCGCTGCTCCCCTCCGACCACCCACGAAGCACCGACTCCGGAGCTTCTCCGCGCGAGGCGCTCCGCGCAGCGGGCGGGGACGCGCAATACTCCTCGCGGGTGAGCGGAGGCAGCGGCGCGGGGGTGGCGCGGGAGGAGGCGGCGGAGGTGGCGGAGCGGACGCGCAGGTGGAGGCGATTAAAGCCGGAGAAGAAAAAGAGGCACGTGAGAGACGACGCGATCAGCAGCCATGCGAATAGCGACTGGCGGCCCTTTAGCGACGCGATTGGGAAGAGCGAAACAGTGCAGAGGACGAAGGCTAGCGGGGGATTCGCCGAGGCCGAGGGTGACAGTAGCGGGTGTTCTATTCTGTGCAGGAGATGCATATGCGGGTTCGCCGCGCCTGTGAAGGAGTGCGATCGGTGCATTCGCGATCGCGAAACGGCGCTGTTTCCGCCGTACGGCGTGCCACTGCTGCCGTGATCGGGATGCACTGCGTGGCTGGGAGTGGAGCACTCCATCGCGAGGACGATGCGGGTTTTAAAGTATTGCCAGTATTAACCAAAACTATAGCACCTCATTCGCTGGAACGACTGGACTGGTCACTGAGATCTTAACCTAATTTTACCTCAAAGTCCTTCAGCGAAAATGCGTCGGAAGCAGAAGCAGAAAAAACAAATCAACACAAGCTGGAATCGTGAGCCAAAAGCTTGGATTTGGGGGTTCACTTCAGTATATTGGATTCAGCTGACTGCCTGCTGCAGTTGCAAGTCCCCAAACAGATGTTCGGGACCTGCCATGCCACCCAGTCCGAGTCGCAGTCGCTTTCCCATTAGAAATGCGATTTGGCTAAAAAATTCATGGTCAGATATGTCAGGCGCGCTCTGGGAAATAGTGTAACAGTTGTGCAACAATCTGGTTCCTACAGTTTGAATGTGTTATTCTTGCTTTGTGTCATTCCTCTTACCTCATATGATAGTAGTTCATCCAATCCAACCTAACGACTATTCAACCCGTTACCACCCTTGATTATTTTCCCTTCCACTGATACTGGACGGACTATTCCACACGCCACGTTGGGTAAACCACGGCCCAACTATACGCCTCGACTTTCTGGAAAAATCTTTATACAGATAAGAACTACAACAAACACTACAACAAACACTACAACATAACACAACCAGCACAGCAGTACTCATGCAAGTTACGTTCCTACCTCGTGCCAACCACCGCACACAGGCCTTGATGCGGCCAATGACACGTGTTGACTTGGTACGGGGTAGGAACGCACCCTCAAGCACGACAATGTGCTACCCTAACCTGCCCAACATCTGGAAGACATGCAGTGCCATCCACGAGTCTACGGCAACAGCTGGCATGCAGTGGTGAGCGCCCCAAGGAGCGCAAAGCAGGCAGCCCCAGTGGCAAGCGACGGTGGTTGGTGGTCATGCGGGTGGGTGACACGATACAAGTGGGGTCATACTGCCTGCACTGCTGCCAGGGATGAGTAGTCGTATTGCTCTGGCATGGGGAGATGGGGTGGGGAGGTTTGGGGAGGAGAAGGATCGAAGATGATACGATTCCAAGTAAGAGGAGGAGAGGAGAGGAAAGGAGAGAAGAGGAGGGGAGAGGAGAAGATAACGAAGAAAGAGTGGAGCACCAGAGAAGATAGGGGATAAGGAGCGGGGCAAATTAGGTAGCAGGTGGGTGAAGGCACCATCTGCATATGCCCCACTGCCTACTCGCTGCCACTTGCTGCAGTGCCACTGACACGCCCACTGCCATGCCCGCTGCCATGCCGACTCACTGCCTGCTTGCTTTACTACATCCGACAGGCTCCAGACTGCCTAACAGGCACTCACTGGAGGCCTTGGTGCAGGAGGCAGAGGCGAGGGTGCCCCAGTCAGAGGAGGAGACGCAGCCCCTGAGGCAGGCGACGGTGTAGGGCGCGGTGGTGCTGGCGTGGTAGTGGTAGAACACAGGCTCGCCACTGCTGCCGTCGCCCACGTGCCCCCCACACTCGTCCACCCCTGCCGGCAGCGCTCCCCCCGCTCCCCGCGGGCCGAACAGCGGAATGCCGTCCGCCAGGAATCCCAGCAAGGGGGAGTGTTGGGTGGGGGCGTCCTGCCAGAAGGACGCGCTGCCAGGGGGGAGGGGGAGGGGGAGGGGGAGGGGGAGGGGGAGGGGGAGGGGGAGGGGGAGGGGGAGGGGGAGGGGGAGGGTGGGAGGCAGGGCGGAGAGAAGGGGCGGATGGACGGGTTGGGATGCGAGGCATGCTACAAGGTAGGTAAATGGCATGAGGCAGCACATGGTACCTGGCAGCACATGGTACCTGGCAGCACATGGTACCTGGCAGCATGGTACCTGGCAGCACATGGTACCTGGCAGCACATGGTACTCGCACTTGCAGCATGGTTGGCTTCGAAAGGAGCTCAGGTTGCAAGGAATTAAGGGGAAGAAGGGAACGCACTTGCAGAGGTTGAAGGCGGTGGAGCGAGAGGAGGAGATGGCAGAGGGGTTGGCGACGCCGGGAGCGACGTGGTAGTGGTACTGGCCCGAGGGCGTGGGGTGCCCCCCACACGCATCAAACGTGGCGCCCTCGTACTGCAAGGCGTCCCGACCCAGGGCGTCACACGCACTGCCAGGGGGAGAGGGAGAGGGAGAGACAGGTATGGGACATGAGGGCGTGAGGTGTGCAGGGAGAGTGAGGGCAGCAGCGAGGAGGACGAGAGGTGGAAGGTGCAGCCGCAAGGGCAGGAGCAGGCAAGCAGCAGAGCAGAATGGGGGTGGCACAGTGGGAAACGAGATGCTGTAGGGAATCATATTCGGACAGGCCAAACCCCAAGTCCTTGTCACGCCGGTTCCCCCCTCCTGCCCCTAACCTCTCCCCCCACCATACCGTGACCCCGCTGATCCATCTTCCATGCTGCCCCCACAGCATTCCAACCCCCCTACTGCCCCGTCCCCCTCGTCACCTGTAGAAGGGCACGCCATTGAGGGCAAAGCCGATGGGGCCCATCTTGCAGACACCGTTGAGGGCGACGGGGATGGCGGAGGAGGCGAGCGTAGGGGCGAGCGGCACGGCGAAAGACAGCGCCTGCTGCTCTGGCGAGTACAGCGTGGCCTGCACCCGCCATGCGTACCCCGGACACCCGTTGCTCGCCATCACCCTGCCATCATACGGCAGGGGGAACAGAGCAAGGGGATACAGGGCAGGGGGGGCAGCGCAGGGGGGACAGGGCAGGGCGAACAAGGCAGGAGAGCTAGGGTGAGGGAAAGGAGGAAGGGGAGGGCAGAAGAACAGACATGAGCGGACGAAATGGCTTGAGCGGGCGTGCAGAGTGGCAGAGAAGAGGGGCGCACCTCTTGCCATTGCTGCTCGTGAGCTTGGCGCTCCTGCTGCTGCTGCTGTTGCCACACGCACTCCCACCCGATGACCCACTGCCACCCCCCATGCCTCCTCCGCTGCCCATGCCTCCGCTGCCCGTGCCTCCGCCGCCCGTGCCTCCGCCGCCCATGCCTCCGCCGCCCATGCCTCCGCCGCCCATGCCTCCTCCGCCGCCCATTCCCCCTCCGCCCATGCTACCTCCGCCTATGCCTCCCGCGCCCATGCCTCCCCCGCCCATATTTCCTCCGCCCATGCCTCCTCCGCCCATGCTTCCGCCGCCCATGCCTCCCCCGCCCATGTATCCTCCGCCCATGCTTCCTCCGCCCATGCCTCCTCCGCCCATGCCTCCTCCGCCCATGTATCCTCCGCCCATGTTTCCTCCGCCCATGCCTCCTCCCCCGCCCATCCCCCCTCCGCCCATGCTTCCTCCGCCTATGCCTCCCCCGCCCATATTTCCTCCGCCCATGCCTCCTCCGCCCATGCTTCCGCCGCCCATGCCTCCTCCGCCCATGCTTCCTCCGCCCATGCCTCCTCCGCCTATGCCTCCCCCGCCCATGTTTCCTCCGCCCATGCTTCCTCCGCCCATGCCTCCTCCGCCCATTCTTCCTCCGCCCATGCCTCCTCCGACGCCCATGTTTCCTCCGCCCATGCTCCCCCCGCCCATGCCGCCTCCACCCATACCTCCCCCACCCATCCCCCCTCCGCCCGCATTACCTGGTTGCCCGCTCATCCCGCCACCTCCTTGCGAGCCAAACCCGCCCTGCCCGCCGCTTGACGCGCCACTTCCGCCTCCGCCGCTGGTCTGGGGGGGGCGGAAGAAGGACCAGCTACCGCCTGTTCCCGATTCCCCCACCAAGCCGCCAAACCTTCCCGCGAAACGCGGAAGGCCGAGCGAGCGCGCGCTGCACGCGGCGTGATGGACACCCGCGAAGCAAAGGAGCGCGACGAGCGCGAGGGCGGGGACGACGCGGGACGACGCGAGGCGAGGCGACATCATGGCAGGCGGCGCGGAACGCTAAGAATCGCGCGTATCTAGAAAAAAATCTGTGGAGTGTAGATCGAACCTCGTTTCAACGTCAAGTTGAATGCACGGCGAATGCAAAGGAGGGAGGCGAATGCAAGAAGGCTGAGAGGCAGCGCTGAGGAATACTCCCAGCGAGGTGGCTATTTGTACTTCCCCTGCCATCGCCGCCGCTGCCATGAGCCCAAGGCACTCGACTCGACCTGCGCGCATTATGTAAACTGATGTGCTGGTTGACTGGGGCAACGAGCAGGAGGATCTGGGAGTCAACGCGAACCCAGTCAACGTTGAAAGGATGGGGAGCTGAACTGTTGACTGACGCTTGGGCGAAAGTGGGCGAGAGGGTGAGTGTTACGAAGGAGAGTGTGCAGAATGCAATAACGAGGAAGTGATTACAACTAGTGAGTGACTAATGAAGCCTAGCTCACATATAGCCAAGGCTAGCTAGGCCGAAGTCGCGGGATCCTGGATGGTTGGGTGTAGGTTCAGGGTTTGGGAGACCCGAAGGCGACGCGAGGGACGTTCGGAGGGCGAGGTCATCGTACCAAGCCTGGAGCTCCGAAAGTTGGAATTGTACATGCATCAAGTGCCTCAGTTTCCCCGGAATTAGGGGAATTTAGGGTAAGAAATTAGGGGAGAATCCTTACACTATCCCCTCCCCTCCCTTCCTTTTAAGAAAGGTGGTCAACATCAGGCACGCGACGGCGGGAAAGGTAGTCCCGTAAAACCGAGTGGACGTGTAGTGAGTCGGTCATGACCCACGTATCATCTTCATTCGTGCGATCAACCCATCACAGCAGGGAATCAATGTGGTGTCTTATCGGTGTCACACACACGCGATGATTCGAAATCTTCTAGGGCTGAAGTGTCGAGTCTGCCATAGGCCGAACATTTGGCGCGATGCTAGAGCGGGAGACGTCGGATGATTGTGGTGTGGCGTAATATCGGAGCAAGCTGGCGTGGAATGTGTTGTGAAATTTCCAGTTGTCGGTAGCAGAAGCCTCACTGTGAGAGGTATTAACATCCTCACGTCGCGGAAGGGTCTTACGTGGCGAGGGCAAAGTTTCACCCTGAAAATCCACATGCAATCGACTATGCTCGCCCCAGGAGGGGGAACTACGTCGACGTAGGTGCCTGTGGACTTCCGGGAAGCCATCTCTGCGTCCATGGCTGCCTGCCACTGAGAGGAGTACTGACCCGTAATCGTCTCTACGCAAGAGCGCGGGGTCGGGAAGTCTAGTGCATTCGGGTCTTCCTCAGGGGCAAGCAGCATGGCAGCGCAACGAGGTATAGCAGCCACGAGGCACTCCAGCTCAGACTGCCTATTCGCAAGGCGGAAGGCAGCAGCAAAGTCAACGAGCTCAGTGCCTAAGGCAGACGCAGCAGCAGACTCAAACGTAGGGTCAGTCAAAAGTTTGGCCAGACAACGAGTGACTGTAGGACTAGCAGCATGAGCAAGGTCCGACGCAGGACAGGACGCTGAGCAACAGAGGAAGGACGAAGTGCCATTGTGTGACTGCCAGGGATAGATGGAGGACGAACACGGGGGGCACGACGAGTACGAGCAACAGGCGAGGCAGAACGAGACGGAGGCTCTCAACGCTCAGTCAAGGAGTCTGTCAACTTAGTGTGAAGAGAAGGATCAGGTAGTGGGGAGTCAGACAGTGGGGATTCAGGCAGAACCTGTGTTTGAGACAGGGCAGTAGGCAGGACCAGGAGTGGAGGAGTGGGACCAGCAGTAGACGGGTCTACAGAGTCAGATGGAGAACGACGAACCTAGTGAAGTGTCGAACCAGGTGGTGGCAGCGGCGACTGCTGCTGGTCCCAGAAGAACGGGCACCGTGGTCGCGGCTGCGCAACACCTCCAGAACCTCTTGCTTTAGTACCTTAAGTACCAGAACCACCAGCACCTCCAGCTCCAGCACCTCCAGTACCAGAACCTCCTGTACCTCCAGCTCTAGTACCTCCAGCACCAGAAGCATCAGCTCCAACGCCTCAAGTACCTCCAACTCCAGTACCTCCTGGACCAGCACCCCAAGAACCACCAGCAACAGGCTCTGGAAGTGGCAGCGATGACTGCTGCTGCTACCAGAAGAAGGGGGGCCGCGGATGAGGCTGCAACGCACCCGCAGAATCTCTAGTATTAGCACCCTTGGCTCCACCACCACTAGGACGCTCAGCACCCCCAGAACCAGCACCTCCAGAGGCAGAGCACCCATACCTAGCGCCCCCAGAGCCCACACCTCCAGCGTCACCACCCCCAGGAGCATCGTAGTCCACCGTAACAGACTGCAGAGGTGGCAAAGACGACCGAGGCGGGAACCAGGAGGGGTCTCCAAGCGTGGTGAGCGGCAAGAGGCCGCAATGTCATGAGTAGCAGGGTCACCTCCCTCAGCCGTTTCAGCGGGGTCTGAGGAGACCTCCACAAGCTCAACCAAGGGGGGTGGTGTGACATGAGACACACCTGAGGGATCAAGACGCGAAGGGGGTGTGGGGGAGGGGGGTCTACCGGGGGGGGTAACCTGGAACCAGGTGAGAAAATAAACGAGAATGAATTGACTAAGGGAAAGTTGGGTACAAGTACAAACCCTAGAAAGTCGTACCCCATATGTGCTACCCACTATAGCCTACAACAGCTATGTCATATAAATCTGACACACCCCCATAGGCAAAGTGGGGGAGAACAAGGGGTCACAAGACCAGTCAAGCAAAGCAAAACAAGCTCAGGGTGGATCATAAAGTCACCACACATTCCGAGCACAAGTTCAAGGCCACAAGGCCAGTTTACATGCAGGATTACATATATATATAAGGCTAGACAAGCAAGAGCAGGTGTATATATATATGTAACAGTACAAACAAGGTCAAGTGGTGAGCAAGTGAGGCAAGGCAGGCACAAGACCCAGCTGAGTACAGAAGCGCTGATGATCACAAGGCGCAAGCGCCTTGGTGAAGATATCAGCAGTGTTGGCCTCAGAGGCCACGTACGCAAGGCGCAGCAGACCACACTGCTGTAGCTCACGAGCAAGGAAGTAGCAAAGAGCAATGTGCTTCGTTCTGTGCTCCAGTCTCTGCTCCCGACACAAGGCCAACATGGCCTTGTTGTCTACGTACAGAACTGGAGGAGAACGAGGCGGCTCTCCGAGGTCAGTCAGTAGGTAGGTGAGCCAGCGAAGCTCCTGTGCAGCCATGGCTCCTGCGTAGATCTCAGCCTCACAACTGGAGCCGAGAACAGAAGACGAGCGAGTAGCCCGCCACGAAACAGAGCCGGAACCAAGGCTGAAGGTGTAACCCTGTGACGACCGCTGCGTAGCCTGGTCGTCAGCCCAAGAAGCGTTTGCGTGCCCAGTGAGGACCACTGGACTCTGCCCTCCAAGCACAAGCCCCATGCCCGACGTACTGCACAAGTAGCGCAACACCCTCTTCGCTGCAGCCATGTGCTCTGGTCTGTGTCTCCCAGGAGCAACATAGCGTGCTAAGATGCTAAGAGGCTATGCAAGGTCAGGTCGTGTGCAGGTCATCAGGTACATGAGGCAGCCAACAAGCTCTGGGTACGGGCCACTCGGCTCTACGGACTCATCCGAAGGCAGAGCTGAGAGCGAGTGGCGAGTAGGCAGAGGAGTGGCCTGAGGCGAGGAGTACGTGAAGCAGAAGCGCTGAAGGACCTGCAGCACCATGTGTGACTGAGTCAGGGTAATGGTGCGGCGTGCTCTGTCCCGGGTGATCTGCAGGCCAAGGTAGCTGCGCAGTTCACCCAGGTCTGTGCACGTGTGTCTCTTCTACAGCTCGGACTTCACGTGGGCGAGTCCAGCAGTGTCAGCTGTGGCAAAGACCAAGTCGTCGACGTACACGAGGATATAGAACGGCGGCAAAGAAGTGTCGGTGCGCAGAAACAGCGACGGGTTGGCTGTAGAAGGAGCAAACCCAAGAGCCGCAAGTGTAGTCCTCAGTGTGTCGTGCCACTCACGCGGTGCCTGGCGGAGACCGTAGACTGGCCGCCGGAGGCTCCACTGGGTGCCAGGAGGAAAAGACCCAGTGAAGCCAGGTGGGCGACGCAGCCAGATCTCCTCGTGCAGGCTGCACTGCAAGAAAGCAGTGTTGAAGTAAAGAGAGTGCAACTCGTAGTCACGATGAGCAGCTATGTGCAGCAGTACCCGAAGAATGGTCATCTTCGGGGTGGGAGAGAAGGTCTGAAAGTAGTCAACTCCCTGCCGCTGACTGAAGCCACGAGCCACGTAACGTGCCTTGAAGACAGGCGTAGAACCTGGCGGTCGCTTCACCCTGAAAATCCACATGCCACTGACAATGTTCGCCCCAGGCGGGAAAACCTCATCAACGTAGGTGCCTGTGGACTTCTAGGAAGCCATCTCAGTGTCCATAGCTGCCTGCCACTGAGAGGAGTAGGGACCCTCAGGGGTAAGCAGTACGGACACGAGATAAGGTGAAGTAGTAGCCAAACACAGGAACTCCTCCTGCCTGTCCTCAAGGACGTCCGTGCCAAGGGCTCACTCACCCCCGACGGACAGAGGACAGACAGACTCAGACTCAGCGACTAGACTAGCAGCGTAGTTTAGACGACAACGAGCAGCAAAGTCGACGAGCTCAGCAACTAGGGCAGACGCAGCAGTGGACTCAAAGGAAGGGTCAGTGACGACAGTAGCAAGGAGACGCATGACAGTAGGACTGGCAGCAGGAAGAGAGTCCGACTCCGGGTCGGCAAGAGCAGGAAGAGAGGACTCTAGAGGAGAAGGCAAAGGGGCACGTAGAGGAGCACTGGACGGACGCAGAGACATCCGGTGCGTGCCAGGGACAGGAGCAGGGCGCTGACGCGAACCACGACCACTAGTGCGAGCAGGACGGACAGGCGACGCAGGGCGAGACGCAGGCTCACGACGCTCAGCAAGACCTCTAGTAGGACCAGTGTAGGGAGAAGGAGCAGGCAGGGGGGAGGCCGGCTGTAACTGTAACTGTGACGGGACAGGCTGTGGACACTCTAAGGGAGGAGGAGGACCAGTAGAAGGCGGAAGACCAAGAACCTGCTGAAGGAGCGGAACGAAGTACGGCCGAGGCCGCGCGGTGACTCTAGACACAGCAGGGACAGCACTAGTACCCCCAGTGGTAGCACCAGTGCCAGCAGCACCTCCAGCTCCAGCACCCCCAGCAGCTCCAGTAACCCCAGGACCTCCAGCAGCACTAGTAGCATCTCCACTAGGACCGCCTCCAGGACCGACAGCAGTAGCCTCAGCGCCAACACCCTCAGCAGCTCCAGCTCCAGTCGTACCCGCAGGCCCAGCAGCTCCAGTACTCCCAGTACAAGCACCTCCGGGACCCGCGACACCGGCACCCTCAGTAGCCGAAGAACCTCCAGCTCCAGCAGCACGCCTCTAGCGCCGGGCAAACCACTCGCGCAGCTCCTGTGGAGAGAGTGGCTCCCGCCGAGACGAAGCACCCGGAGAACCTCCAGGAGTAGCACCCCAAGGCTCAGCACCCCCAGTCGTAGCACCCCCAGGCTCAGTACCCCCAGGCGTAGCACCCCCAGGCTCAGCACCCCCAGGCTCAGCACCCCCAGTAGTAGCACTCTCAGGCTCAGCACCCCCAGGCGTAGCACCCACACGCTCAGCACCCCTAGTAGTAGCACCCTCAAGCTCAGCACCCCCAGGCATAATACCCACACGCTCAGCACCCCCCGAGTCAGCACCCCCATGCTCAGCACCCTCAGCAGCACCAGAGTCACCAGCAACCTCGACAACCTCGACT